CCCTAAAAGGCTGCTGGTGGCCGCTTGCCATCTTGCCTCCCTGCATGGGGCCAAATAGTTCCCCTGTGGAATCTGGTAAGCACTAGGGTTGCCAAGCTGCTGCCATTTTGAGCTGGACAGCCCAGGATTTTTGCCTCCTGGTTGGGAAAAAAATCAGAAAGTACTGGACATTTTAGGTGTCCAGTATTTTCTGAATTTTTTTTACTGGAGCGGAGGCGAAAATACTGACCTGTCTGGTTCAATACCGGACACCTGGCAACCCTAACTGAATCCCATGGACGGAGCTTGCAATAGTTAGTGACTGAGACAAAGTAGGAAGAAGGGGGGCTTGCAAGAGCCAGGCATGCTATGAAATGGACTTATGGACACGAATATACATAACTTAAAGGTGCTTTGAGCAAATTATTTTGTGTAACTCACCAAGCTTCATGTCACGATCCGCTGGTTCTGTTTATCTTCCTTTGATGTGTGTATCATTTGTGTGTAAAGTTAGGCATATGGCGTGGGGAATACTTTCTGGCTGTGTCTAGACTGCATCCCTTTTTCGTAAAAGGGATGCAGATTAGACATATCGCGATTGCAAATGAAGCCGGGATTTAAATCTCCCCCGCTTCATTAGCATAAAAATGGCTGCCGCTTTTTTCCGGCTCGGAGCTTTGCTGGAAAAAAGTGCCAGTCTAGACGCGGATCTTTCGGAAAATAAAGCCCTTTCCAAAAGATCCCTTATTTTAAGAAGCTTCCCTCTGTGGCTGGTGTAGGGGACTCCCTGCCCCCGAACCTTGTTCCCTCTCCCCTGCCCCAAACCTGTCCACCACCCTCCTGTTCCCTCTCCTTTGCCCCCCTGCAGAAACCTGTCCCCCAGCACCCTGCTCCCTCTGGAGAAACCAGTTCCCTCTGGCACCCTGCCTCCTCTGGCATCCTGTTCCCTGCCCCAGAATCCACTAGCACCCCTCCCCACCTCCCCTGCAGAAACCAGTTCCCTCTGGCACCCTGTCTTCTACTGCAGAAACTAGTCCCCCTGCTCCCCTCTGCAGAAACCAGTCCCCACCAGCATCCTGTCCCCTACTGCAGAAACCTGTCCCCCTGCCTTCCCTACTACAGAAACCTGTCCCCCTGCTCCCCTCTGCAGAAACCTGTCCCCCACCAGCACCCTGTCCCTGCTGCAGAAACCTGTCCCACACTGGCACCCTAGCCTCTGCTGAAGAAACCTGTCCTTCTGGCACCCTGCCCCCTCTCCCCTGCCCTCACTGGCACCCTGTTCCTGCCCCAGAACCCACTAGCACCCCTCCCCAGTACTGTGTCCCCTGCTCCGGACTGACTTTTCTATGGGACAGTGACCCCTGATTCAAGGCAGGTTCCCTGCCATTCTCATAAATAAAGACAATGAAGAAATGTTTTGTGTGTGACATAATATTTTATTTAAAAACGAAGCCTGGTCAACAAACCCTCAATTGGGGCCAAGCCCCCATCTGGCCACAACCACTCCTGCACTCCCCCTTCCCCAGACCCTAGATCTGAGCCTATCAAACACTGGAACCCCCTGCCCTGAGCCCCTCACATACGCCAATCGAAATTCCTGCACCCTCACATCCACAAGCCTGTGGCTTGCTTAGTACTGTTGGAGACTTCTAACCTAAACGGCTTCAGTTTGTTGTCTGACCGCAGAGACAGGCAACACCAGCAAGGTCTAATCACAAAGCTTTTTATTGAAGAGTGCACACGACAATAGAGAGCAGCCTGTCTCTCCGAGAACCAACCCCCGATTTCTATAGCAAGTGGGGTTATATAGATAGTTTCGTCATAAGCTCTTTATTGAAGAGTGCACAAGACAATAGAAAGCAGTCTGTCTCTACCAAGAACCAGCCCCCAATTTCTATAGCAAGTGGGGTTATATAGACAGTGCTGTCATTTCATAGACTATTTACTGAAGCAACCTCCCCCCTTTATTAGTTAGAAACTTCTAGCATGCATGCATACCTTGCCAACTATACAAGGTGGCCTTGATACATCAGCAACTTTCTTATTAAGACAGACAACGAGAAGACAGAGAGTACCAGACAACGAGGAGACAGGGAGTTTTCTTATCAATTCCTTAAGCAAGCTGTTCAGTTCAGCAAGTACAAAAATGCAGCTGTTCGCTTATCTCATTCCCTTGCTCAACTCATGTCTCAATTTTTGTTCAGGGACTACCCAGAACCCTTTGCTGGACTCTTCTTGGTCTGTCTTAGCATAACCGCCCTAGGCCCAATTTTCTGTGACCTAACAGTACCCCAACACTACCCGGCCTGGAGCTCCCTCCCCGAGCCAGTGTTTCCTTCTCCACCTCCTCCTGCATCCAGATTTCCTCCCAAAGCTTGCACCTCTCACCCCTTCCCACACCCAAATCCCTCATTCCCACCCCGGAGCCTACACATCCTGTCTCAACCCAGCGAGGGTCCAGCTAGGCTGCAGGAGTTTTTCAGGATTCTGGAGATAGCCCAGAAAAACTCTTCTGCATCCAAGGTTGCATTTGTTCTTCGACGTTTTCTAGTGCAAGAGCAAACATGCTCTTTCGGTCACCCCTATATTCCTCTTTCCACGAGGAATAAGGGGGCTTCCAAAAGAAGGGGTTTTTTTCTGACATTTGGTCCAATCTAGACAGGCCAAAAGTTGGAAAAACCTCTTCCTACAGAAGACTTTTTTTTATAAAAAGCAGCAGTATAAGGATTGGAGATAGCAAGTGATGGAGAGGAAGAGAATAGAGAGGGCGGGGCTTCAAGGAAGGGGTTGGGTTTCAAGAAAGGGCGGGGCAGTAGATCTTGGCTTGGTCTGTCATTTAAAAAGTGATCTTGGGTGTTAAAAGGTTGGCGACCACTGACTAGAGGATTGGTTGGAAGGTCCTACAGTACCCTGGTCATTACTTGTAGCCAGAACTGATGAGGGGCACTCAGCCTTGATCCAGGGGAGAGCACCTGGCAGGGGGAGCAGGGCCCTATGCCAGCAGACAAGGGGCTCCAGGGGGCTGCGCTCAGCTGGGCTGGTACCCCAGACACAGGTAGTGAGAGGGAACAGGCCCCATCTCTTCCCCGGCCAGTGAATTCCAGGCTGTTGCAGACAGATCCCTCCTTGAAAAAGCTCATGCTTGGTGCCCATGCTCAGTGCAGCTCAGCCCCTGGGGGGAGGCTGCCAGGAGAGGTTCCTGTGGGAGAGGGGATTCCTGTACCAGGAATGGCTCCGCCCAGGGGAAATGGAGTCATGTGGGGTCCGGTGGCAGCTGGTGGTTCCCCAAAAGTACCACTGCAGACTGCTGTACCTGGCCCATGACGTCTCGTTCTCAGGACACCAGGGCTACATCATACTGCAAGCCTCTTTCAGAAAAGCAAATGCAAATGGAGCGCTCATTTGCATATGCAATGCTCTCATTTTTATTTCCTCTTCCTTTCCTTTTTGCACAAGAGGTTTTTTTGCGCAAAAAAGCGCCATCTACACAGCACTTTTTTGCACAAAAATCTCTTGTGCAAAAGGGAAAGGAAAAGGAAATGCAAATGATAGCACTGTATATGCAAATGAGTGCTCCATTTGCTCTTCCACAAGAGACTTGCAGTATAGACATAGCCCAGGGGATAGAGCGCACCAGGCAGAGGCTGCGCCAGAACTTTTACTGGCCTGGGGGTCTTTGCTGCTGTGCATAGGTTCTACCGGTTCTGTGTCTCCTGTCAGATAGTGGAGAGGGCCCAGGACAAGAAGAAAGCTGCCTTGAGGCCTCTGCCCATGATAAAGGAGCCTTTCTAGAAGGTGGCAATGGATATTGTGGGACCCCTCAGTAAGGTGACCCAGTCAGAGAAGAAATACATCCTGGTAGTGATGGATTTCATTACTTACTAGCCCAAGGCTGTGGCTCTGTCCTCTATCTAGGCAGACACTGTGCCCAATGTGCTGCTGACCATTTAAAGTAGGGTGGGATTCCCCAAGGAGTCCTCACAGACCAGGGTCCAACTCCATGTTTGGCCTGCTCTGGTGCTTCTGGGAGAAGTGTAGTGTCTGTCAATGGGCTGGTAAGGAGGTTCAATGCGACACTAAAGCAGACGCTAAAGACCTTTATGCACCAACACCCACAGGACTGGGACAAGTACTTACCCCATCTGCTGTTTACATACAGAGAGGTGCCCCCAAAAATCCCCAGGGTTCTCCCCATTTGAGCTATTGTATAGGAGGAGAATGAGGGGTGGATTTGCTAAGAGATGAGTGAGAGGGAAAGGCCTCCCCTGATGGGGAATTGGTGGTGGAGTGTGTACTGGCTTTCACTGATCATTACTTGTAGCCAGAACTGATGAGGGGCACTCAGCCTTGATCCAGGGGAGAGCACCTGGCAGGGGGAGCAGGGCCCTATGCCAGCAGACAAGGGGCTCCAGGGGGCTGCGCTCAGCTGGGCTGGTACCCCAGACACAGGTAGTGAGAGGGAACAGGCCCCATCTCTTCCCCGGCCAGTGAATTCCAGGCTGTTGCAGACAGATCCCTCCTTGAAAAAGCTCATGCTTGGTGCCCATGCTCAGTGCAGCTCAGCCCCTGGGGGGAGGCTGCCAGGAGAGGTTCCTGTGGGAGAGGGGATTCCTGTACCAGGAATGGCTCCGCCCAGGGGAAATGGAGTCATGTGGGGTCCGGTGGCAGCTGGTGGTTCCCCAAAAGTACCACTGCAGACTGCTGTACCTGGCCCATGACGTCTCGTTCTCAGGACACCAGGGCTACATCATACTGCAAGCCTCTTTCAGAAAAGCAAATGCAAATGGAGCGCTCATTTGCATATGCAATGCTCTCATTTTTATTTCCTCTTCCTTTCCTTTTTGCACAAGAGGTTTTTTTGCGCAAAAAAGCGCCATCTACACAGCACTTTTTTGCACAAAAATCTCTTGTGCAAAAGGGAAAGGAAAAGGAAATGCAAATGATAGCACTGTATATGCAAATGAGTGCTCCATTTGCTCTTCCACAAGAGACTTGCAGTATAGACATAGCCCAGGGGATAGAGCGCACCAGGCAGAGGCTGCGCCAGAACTTTTACTGGCCTGGGGGTCTTTGCTGCTGTGCATAGGTTCTACCGGTTCTGTGTCTCCTGTCAGATAGTGGAGAGGGCCCAGGACAAGAAGAAAGCTGCCTTGAGGCCTCTGCCCATGATAAAGGAGCCTTTCTAGAAGGTGGCAATGGATATTGTGGGACCCCTCAGTAAGGTGACCCAGTCAGAGAAGAAATACATCCTGGTAGTGATGGATTTCATTACTTACTAGCCCAAGGCTGTGGCTCTGTCCTCTATCTAGGCAGACACTGTGCCCAATGTGCTGCTGACCATTTAAAGTAGGGTGGGATTCCCCAAGGAGTCCTCACAGACCAGGGTCCAACTCCATGTTTGGCCTGCTCTGGTGCTTCTGGGAGAAGTGTAGTGTCTGTCAATGGGCTGGTAAGGAGGTTCAATGCGACACTAAAGCAGACGCTAAAGACCTTTATGCACCAACACCCACAGGACTGGGACAAGTACTTACCCCATCTGCTGTTTACATACAGAGAGGTGCCCCCAAAAATCCCCAGGGTTCTCCCCATTTGAGCTATTGTATAGGAGGAGAATGAGGGGTGGATTTGCTAAGAGATGAGTGAGAGGGAAAGGCCTCCCCTGATGGGGAATTGGTGGTGGAGTGTGTACTGGCTTTCACTGAAGAACCTAGGCAGAGCCCAAAGGAAGCAGAAAGTCTGGTATGGCTACAATGCATGAGCTTGCACTATGCCACTGGGGACCAAGTGATGGTTCTTATTTCTGTGCACATAAACAAGATACACACAGCCTGGGACAGCCCCTTTAAGGTCATCAAGCAGCTGAATTAGGTGAACTATGTGGTGGAGCTGTCCAATCAGGCGCACAACCAGCAGGTGCATCATGTTAATATGATGAAACTGTACTGAGGTGGGGAGAATTTGGTGCAGGCCATATGTGGGCAGTCGGAGGGGCAGGGAGATGACAGGAGATGACTCCTTGCTGGAATCTATCCCCCTCTCTGACCAGTTAACACCTGCCCAGCAGACAGGTTTCTCTGCCAACTCTCTCCTTGCTCTTTGTCTCTGCCCTGCAAAAACACACACAAATGAACAATACTGGTGGGCAAATGAAAGTGCCATATCCTCAGTTTCACTTCCCCTTCCTTGTTCTTGGGCGTTTCCTGTTAGCTTGCTCCAAATTCAGGTCAAAGACCAAGCTTTCGTTCAGCATATAAACACCAAGAAGTATTTCACCCCAGTGCCGCTCCCTGGGATTTGAGATACAGCTGGGACATCACAAATAGAGACACTCAGATGAGAGAAGGTGAGTAAGCATCTGAAATACAATTTGTAGAGGGACTTGAGGTCATAGAGTGATAGGGTTAGAAGAGGCCTCAGGAGATCATTGAGTCCAACTAAAAGCAGGGCCAACCCTAACTAAATCATCCCAGCCAGGGCTTTTGTCAAACTGGGATTTAAAAACCTCTAGGGATGAAGATTCTAAGATCTCCCTAGATCAGTGTTTCCCAATTTTATTTGTCCATGGAACCCTTTTCAGCTTTTCAAAATTTCAAGGAACCTCTAGGTTTGTCAAAAAAAAAAAAAAAAAGAAAACAGAAAAAAGGAGGGGAACCCACAAATGAAAATCACATTCCTTCCCCAAGACCTCCCACCCCTTCCTTGAGGCCTCATCCTCTCTGTTCCCCTCCTCTCCATCACTTGCTATCCCCAACCCTTATGCACTCTCACTGGGTTGAGACAGGAGGTGCAGGCTCTGGGATGGGAATGAGGGATTTGGGTGTGGGAAGGGGTGAGAAGTGCAAGCTCTGGGAGGGAATTTGGATGCAGGAGAAGGGGATGCAGGCTCAGGGAGGGGGCTCTAGGCTGGGGAGTGTTGGGCTCAGGTGGAGGGTTGGGGTGCTGAGCAAGTCACAGGCTTGTGGATGTGAGGGTGCAGGTGTTTGGGCTGGGGTGCATGAAGGGCTCAGGGCAGGGTAGCCGAGAGTATGATGGAACGCCTAACATAGTGAATGCTAGTGGGAAAAGGGTAGTTTTAGAAGGTAAAATAAAAAAAGAACAAGTTAAAAATCACATAGAAAAGTTAGATGCCTGCAAGTCAGCAGGCCCTGATGAAATGCATCCTAGAATACTCAAGGAACTGATAGAGGAGGTATCTGAGCCTCTAGCTATCATCTTTGGAAAATCATGGGAGACAGGAGAGATTCTAGAGGACTGGAAAATATAGTGCCCATCTATAAAAAGGGAAATAAGAACAACCCAGGAAACTACAGACCAGTTAGTTTAACTTCTGTGCCAGGGAAGATAATGGAGCAAGTAATTAAGGAAATCATCTGTAAACACTTGGAAAGTGGCAAGGTGATAGGGAACAGCCAGCATGGATTTGTAAAGAACAAATCATGTCAAACCAATCTGATAGCTTTCTTTAATAGATTCACTCCAATTCTGCACATGCTTAGTATGCTTATTGTACATGCTATAAGAGATGAGCCATATGCTATTGACTAATTTGGTGATCTGATTCTGCAAAATGCTGAATGTTGTCAGATCTCATGAATTTAAATACCTCAGGGTCATGAAAGCATCTGCTGTAGTATATCACCATAATGTTTTAATGTTTGTCATTTATACTAACCTGGCAAATCTCCTGGTTTTACTTGGAAGATAACATAACTATATTGTCCTGTTTACCTGATTTTTCTATTCTACCCTCTTTCCCAACTCAGAACCAAGACAAGCTTAACAAATAGCTGCTCCAAAGGAGCTGAAGGGGGCTATTCTTTTCAGAATTACCCAGCTTACAGAACAGCAAAGTCATTGCTTCAAAACAGTCTCAGGGCTAGCTTTGTTAACACATTCCTGAGACTGTGTCCATAATAGGTGGTGGGTGCACATAGCAGCATGTGAGGGAACACAAGTTTTGCAACTGCAGAATGGCTTCACAGCCAGTCCAATAGCCTGAAAGATTTTTCCTCATTCAAGTTATATACCAAGCCTATCTCAAGGGAATTCATAGTCTGTGGCTATGCCTGGAAGGGACAGGGGATTTGAGCCCAAATTATCTATGGTGATGGTTTGGTTGTTTCACCTTCCAGTTACAGCTTGGCTCATTTCAAGTCCAATGTAGAGCATTCACATGCCATCGATACCTATAATATGAAGCATTATCATGCTTTTACTGTGAACAGTGATGGTTTGAAGATGCTGAGCTATTGATTGCAACTTTTAATTGATTTGTTGCAGCTCTTAAACAAACCCATTTTATCAAAGTTTGTGTAGCTTTTACATCTTAGACTGCCTTGCGGTGAACTGCCTGCAATTTACAGCTGTGTTTTGCAGCAAGAGCCTGAAGAGAGAGAGATTAATGTTTGAATTATTTTATCTTCTAGCTTCTGCATAGACATAAGCATAGACCAGCTGCATTTGCTTGGTTGTAGTTTTACAGCAGTTTTTAAAAATAATATAAGGTTAAAGAGTAAATCAATACAAGAATCACTGAGAAAGCAATGAAAAACTCTGGTAATGGATAAACAGCCACTGCACATGGCTACTTAACAAATTAGATCACTTCCACATTTTGTAATAAGCCTAGATGATTTCCTTGTACAGTTTCTCCCAGTGTTTAATTTCAGTAGTCTTGTTTGAACTGTTTTCAATTGTCATTTAACTATGATATGACTTTTATAAAATATTCAGAGTTTTCCTGTCCTGAAAGTTTGGCTCTTGCTGAGAGATGGCCATTGTGATACCAAACCATAAATATTGCCAGCATTATGGTCAATGGTAGATGCTGGGGTTTTCTGTGACTTGTTTAGAGCATGTTAGCTGCTACTTTCCCCATGTACAACCTGATGAATTGAACTCCTGGAAGGTACAGTAGATATTGGCACTCAAAACACTTATAGGAGGCAGCAGCATTTGCCAAAAGCCTAGGACCTTCACTATTGAACTTTCTATATCCTACCCACTTCTGTGTCATCCTAGCTCACTTAAAAATCAGGTTCCAAAATTAGCCCTTCTAGTGCTTGCTCCTGAAAAACTCCCCACTAGTTGCCCTCCCCTCTCCCACCTCCTTTTCCCAGTTTCCCCGAGTTTTGTTCAATAAAGAGAGTTTCTATTTTTGAACACACATGTCCTTTATTTTGTACATCAGGAAGGGGGGGCTAGGGAGGGGTAAGTGGAAGGAGGTGAGGGAGGAATGGGGTACGAGCCCCCGATGGGGAGGACTGGGGTGGCTCTGCAGGCTCCTCGGGGTGGAAGCTCTCCTGCATCCCCCTGATTGACAGCCC